CACAGTGAGCCTTTAACTACAGCTTCATAAAGGAAACTTGGTGTGCTGTATTGAAAAAAAGTGAAAAAAATATTGCAGTTGTTACAAAGGAAATGTAGAATATTGAGTACATTGTTAATTAAAAGTAATCAAACGAATGCTGCATAAAGAGATGATCGAAATTAACAGTAAAATAGGTTCATTAATTATTATTATTCATTTATTAGGGATGTAACAATATCCAAATCTCATGGTATGATATTTTTACAATATACATCTCAAGTTAGGGTATTTACTGTGATATATTGTGGAAAAATGTGAACTACTATACTACTTTTTCCTCTTAAAATGCCTTGACAAGACTTAATCCAAAGAAATAAGACTTAAAAGTGCTTAGAACTGCTATTTCTTCATGTAGTTTGCACCAAAATGGAGCAAAGGATCATGGTCGATGTAGTTCCCTCTGTTTTTTTAGCTATTGCTGCACCATAACAATGAATTTAAGCAAAGAAACTTGTAATCGGATATATTGTGATGGTCCACGATATGATTGAGAGACTTTTGACGATACGATATCTCTAGGGCTGTGCAAAAATATCGAAAAATCGATATATTGTATCTTTTAATGTGATGATACAATATCGACATCGTGGGCTGCTGTATCGATATATCGCCAAGAGTATTTTTTGGTGTATTTTACTAAATTATTTTGTTGCAGCTATAGTTTTGTTGTTTGTTTAGAGGAAGGAAATTCATTTGTGCGACAAATTTGACATATTCACTGTTTTGATGAATAAAATGGGCGTTTTTGATTTGAACATTGCACAAGGAGTGATTTAACAAAGTCTTTTAGTATCACAGACATTATTAAAGTTTTATTTTTGAATGAACTGTATCAATTCATTTTGAAATATATCGTATCGAATTGAAAGTGCGCTGTATCGAGATTTGTATCATATCGGCAACTTCTGAATGATACCCAGCCCTAGATATCACTGTATTTTTGTTATTGTTACACCCGTCATTTATATTTTTTCTCTTTTGGGGTCATTTTATAGTTCGTTCACGCTTTGTATAACATTTGAATGAAAACGATAACATTTGCGGCCACATTTTAGCAGATTTCTGATGGACTGTCACTCAGAATACGTTCAATATCACCCACTTTTAACTTTCGCAAGTTTGCCAGTTTAGTTACGTCTCTTTTTCCTGTTAAACTCGAGGACTAGCTGCACTGGTGTGGATTACATCAGTGTGTGCGCGCGTGAGGCGGAGGTCGCATGCAGATTTGTGACGACTCATTAGCTCCAGATGGACAATAGGCCCTGATCTTTAATCTGTGAATTATAAAGCTTTACATTACCAGCCCACATGCTGCTTTTTCAATGCAACACCAGTCGGGCTTCAATTATATTTTGAAAAGCTGTGACAAATCATGCAGTTTATTTTAACATCAAAAATTTTAAATATGTCACATTTTTAGTCTTGTTAGGAAAAAAAAGAAGTAATTTTGACCCTGTAAAAAGACTTAGTAGTTTTAAAAGTTTGTGCAGAATCAATAATATATAGCATTTTACAAGGATCACATGCCATTTGATTGTAACTTTATGATATAGAACATTATTTTTACAAGATAAACAAATAAAAATGCATGTAATTTGTAAATAAGTCATACTTCCCTTACAAAAAAGGTCTATGTATATTTAAACTTCCATATTTTCTGTTTCCATTTGAGTGGTCAGTGATAAAATCTACAAAAACAACTGTATTGACAACATCTGCTTCTCCACATTGATCATTTAAACAAAGCAGCAGTTTTACTATAGAAGCTGAACAGTGCCCCCTACAGGAAATCACCACAACAAGAAAGAAAGTTCCTGGGGAAGGGTGATAAAAAATAAAATTGAATGTGTTAATATTTTTTGGAAGGAGTCTCACTATAATTACAATCAGATGACATTTTTGCAATCCTTAAAATGTGCCTGCAGCCGTCTTGGTTGAGGTTAAAAAATTTGATTGAACTGTAATATTAAAAGAGCATTATGTAACTTTTCTGGTGGTGGTATAATATTAAACTTGTCTATCTGCCATTTATTCATACTCAGGTGTTTTATAGCTCAAAAATACATTGAAAAGCGTGCATTTTTTCAGTGAGCAGGCTCGCCTCTCCACTGATCTCATTTGGAGTTACCATAATTCAATTTTTAACTCAATTCAATGTATTTTTGTAAAGCCCCAAATCACAACAGCAGTCGTAAAGTAAAGTAAGTGTGGACAGGTGAGGAAAGGGGAGGATCCAGGTACACAGAACAGGATCAGAGCGTAATGCCATACTGCGGAACATTCCAGGTAGAGTAATAACATCTCAAATAGAGACAAACAGGTCGCAGATCTTACACCAGAAAATATTTATCTTATTCCCCTTTCCCCACTTTTGGCATAATGTGACTAAACTGCACTTTTTTGTTGTGTCACTTCTGGTTTAGTGAGAATCTAATTTTTGTGAAAGGTTTTGCCACTAAAATATGAAATAAAGTAAGGTTTATTTGTATAAAATGTTCAATGTTCATGTCAAGGGCGTAGTTTTGCATAAGAAAGGACATGTCACAACCAATATTTGGGGAAGAGAAAATAGTCCCTACCAATATTTGCCATGTAATTTTAATAAACAAAAATATTAATTTGCGATATTTTTCCAAACTCAGTAGTATTAATTTAACACGCTTTAGTTCACATTTTGTTCATGTTCTGAGATGTATTCAGTGATATGCCGCTATTTTATTCGCTGCAACAGAATAATGTCATTAGTGGAGCCAGGAGCCTAAACTGGGGAAGCGGCAGGACAGGGCCAGAGCCTGAAGATGTCGGCTTGAGCAGACGTGAGTGAAGACGCTGCACCGAACTTTTAAAAGCTTTTCAAAAGGAACTTACTTGGCTTCATCTTAAAGTAAACTTGCCTTATAATGAGTCGCTGCAGAAAAAGAGCGACTATCACCACAAGTGCACCTCCCAAACAGAGCCCTACTCGTGCGCTGTGAGCAGCCCGACTCTACTGACAATATTCCATCGAAAAATGTTTGGACATTGTCTCCCAAACATGTCATCATCACCAACAACCAAAGGGAAAACTGCTACAAACTTCTACATCTCTGTTATCCGGTAAAACAACCTACAAATAAGTACAGTGGCCTATCAGTTGGTTTCATGGGAGGGAGGTGTTAATGTCTCCACCAAAGCTGAGACCGAACGTACGCCCTTGGTTCATGTGCACCAACAAGTCAACACTGCACCGATCATCTGAGGGCTTTAAAGCGGCTTTGTGGTCCAGATAGAACTTATTTACTGTGGACACTGGCAACCCCATGTAAAATAATACAACCCGAACAGCAACACCCTCTGCAGCTTCCAAAATAAGGTGAATATGAATCACCCAACTTACTAGAGTTTCGGTGTTGGGCCATAAAGCATTAGATTATGACAGGTGAATGTGGAAGGACCAAAGAGATTATCAGATTACCACAGCACCTGTCTCTGTTGAGAAACATTACACAGGGAGTCTGTGTTTTGTCCTTGGAGTAAAAGAGAGAAGTCTGAATCATCACAAGGCCAAATTTGGTGTGCAAGGCGAAGAGAAAAAGGTGTTATTTTGTCAGTAAATATCAATGCATTTTATCGGGCAGGTGTTATAAATAATTAATATTATGTTTTAAATTGACACAGTATTAAAACCACAGTGTCATATGTGTACACACGTAATATCCTGTCATTTTCACTACGGGTCAAAAGTTTTTAAACACCCTGATTTTTCCAGTTATTTATTGCAATTCAAGTTGTGCAAGTCCAATGAAGAGCTTGAAATGTTACAAAGGTAAGAACTGAAAAGCCAGAGGTTAAAAAATGATTTAAAAAAAATACAAAACACAAGCTCTGCCAAAACTACCTCAGGAAAAAAGAACAAGATGGTAAAACTTGAAAACATGGAGTGTCCAGCACAGTCTCCAGACTTAAACCCCATCGAGCTGGTTTGGGATGAACTGGACAGAAGAGTGAAAGACAAACAACCTACAAGTGCCACACATTTATGAGAACTTCTGCAACAGACTTGGGAAGAACTTTCTGAAGAATATTTGATTTCTATTGTAAAAAGAATGAACCACGAGTGTGTTCAGCTGTTAAATCTGCCAAAGGTGGACACTTTGAAGAGTCAAAAGTTTAGAATACATTTTGGTCTATAAATTGATTCCATGATTTCTTTTTAAACTCAGATTGCTTATTTGTTCTATGCTTTCATTTCAGAGCAGCAATGACACAATAAACTGAATAATTTCCAATCAAAAACTGGAAAAAGTGTGTTCTAAAACTTTTGACCGGTAGTGTAGGAAGAACTGTTACAGAAGCTAAAAAAAATGTAGGTAAAGTTGACATAAATTATACTTATAGGTCCTATATTACGCAAAATTGACTCTTGTGAGCTTTAAACCATGTTATAATGTTGTATAATGTCAAAAACAGGCCTGGAGTTGTGTTTTGTTTCATTCGCACATGTTTTATTCTGCATTATTAGGGTCTATTTACATCTACAAAGCTCGAAATGCTCTGCTCCACTTTGTGATGTCATGAAGTGATAATTTTAGAACAGAAAATAGCGTAATATGGGCCCTTTAAAGGTTCACTGTGTAACGTTTTTTGGAGGCTCTGTGTAGAAGATTTTATTAATTTGCTTGATTATTTTTTTAAAAGTACTTCCTTGTCCATGAAGAGAAGCAGGCAACACCACCAAACCAAGTTACAGTTTAGATCAGATCAACAAGAACCATGTTTTTCAAGGTCATTTTTCTTAATAATAACACTTCTGTAAATGAGTAAATGCAAGGTAGGTCAATTAAACACCATATACCATGATGATTATTAAGCAAAGTTGGTCACTCTATAATGATTTCTTACCAAAAACATAAAAACAGGCAACCAAATCAGCCCTTGTCAAATGTATTCAGTGAAATGTTGCTTGTGTGTGATTTTACCCAGTGAAGTTGTCCGATGCAGATTTTAGCAGCGAGCAGCGGCAGTGAAGGGTCCTCTGGTCTCATCCGCGCACACTCCTTTAAAACGGACACAGCTGCAGCCCCCTGAAGCATAAAGACACATGTTGGAGAGGGACATTCTGGGAAGGTCATGAAAAGAACAAGCAATTACAAAAGCTTCAAATACAACAGATGTCACGTTTTTACAATTAGTTTTACTTGAATAATGGTTTCTCCAGACACTTTTTTTAACTTTTACTTGAGCAACTGCTTGGATCACTACTTTGTACTTCTTGAGTAATATTATTTTAGGCATCAGTACTCTACTCTACTCACCCTTCTTTGTGTCATTTTTATTTATTTATTTTTATTTATGAAAGATTAATACAAAATAATTATGTTTCATACATCAATGTGAATGAAAAAGAGCATAAAGAAGTGTTGTGGAAAAAATGATGTATCTTGATGATAAAAAACTAATCCATTTGCGAAGCCCAATGAATTTTTGGAATACAGACAAACTCTTGTTACAGCAGATATGGACAGGGCTGCCCTGGCCAGAGACCAACAGCCTCCCCTCCCCAGCAGTATGTCCCTCCAACCAGTGCTGGGAGTAACGCGTTATAAAAGTAACAAATTACTGTAATACATTGTTTTTTGTTGCAATGTTACGGCATTACAGGGAAAAAAATTATATTTTAATCAGTACAAATGTCATTTTTAACCTGGATTGAAGTGGTGGGTTTTTCATTTTTCTTCATATAAACAAAATCACATGAACTTAACTTGTCTATCTGCCATTTATTCATACTCAGGTGTTTTATAGCTCAAAAATACACTGAAAAGCGTGCATTTTTTCAGTGAGCAGGCTCGCCTCTCCACTGATCTCATTTGGAGTCACCATAATTCAATTTTTAACTCAATTCAATGTATTTTTGTAAAGCCCCAAATCACAACAGCAGTCGTCTTTGCAGTGCTTACCAAGTCCGTTGATTTAACCACCAGAAAGGTAGAAAATCCAAGGAAAAAGTAAAGTAAAGTAAGTGTGGACAGGTGAGGAAAGGGGAGGATCCAGGTACACAGAACAGGATCAGAGCGTAATGCCATACTGTGGAACATTCCAGGTAGAGTAATAACATCTCAAATAGAGACAAACACATGGCAGATCTTACACCAGAAAATATTTATCTTATTCCCCTTTCCCCACTTTTGGCATAATGTGGCTAAACTGCACTTTCTTTGTTGTGTCACTTCTGGTTTAGTGAGAATCTCATTTTTGTGAAAGGTTTTGCCATTTTTCTTCATATAAACAAAATCACATGATATCAGCAGTGGTGAAACGCCATCATCATGGTTCCAGATGTCGGGACAGGCCCTGAGGTGCATCGAGGACCAGCACGGGGCTAATCGCAGCTGATGCCCGATCGCACTTTGTGGACATCGTGTTCTCTCAGAGGCCTAGTCCAAGATTAGTCTTGGTTTGGTCCTGGTTTGGTCCTGGTTTGGTCCTGGTTTAGTCCTGGTTTAGTCCTGGTTTAGACCTGGTTTAGTCTTCAGTTCAGTCCTGGTTTATTCCTGGTTCAGTCCATATACAGCGCAAAAGTTCGGCATCTTTGCAGTTATTTTGGTGAGAGTAATTTTAAAGTGCTGCAGTAGTCCTGTAATGCCTTACATTTAATGCAACGAAGTTCTTTGAAATGACAGTAACAAGTAATAAATAACACATTACAGTTCTGAAGTAACTTGCCCAACAGTGCCTGCAAAGTTAGACCCTTAATCTTACAAAGCACCAAGTTTATATCCACTGAGATGACCAGAGGACATACTGTACATTTCAAAGTGCGAAAGTGAGAAGGTGACGACTCTCACTGAAGTGCGGCCAGATGTGCTTGATCTGATCTGCATCCATATTCATGCATTTGTCACTTCCTCACAAGATTAGCGAGCAAAAGGGAACAGAAGTGTTTAAACTGAAGGGTCTCTCTAACACCGTCTTTAACGACCAAACCAAATGAGTTTTAGTTACAAGACCAAATGTGTTTCTAAAAGATAAACTAATCACTATTTTTTTAGTTTAATCAATCATAATCAATATTTTCCTGTGCGAGTCTGGTCTCGGGTAGAAATCATATTCATTTACACAAAGACAGACGGAGAGAAATCTTTCCACAATATAAATTTCCGTTACAGAAGTAAAGACTTGTAATATCTGCCCTCTTTTCACACAAAAACATTTCTAACACTTTAACAGTTCCAACTTAATGTATAAATTTATAAGCAACAAAAGGACAGTTCATACTTCATACTTATATCATGTTTGACATTTCTTTTAAACACTTGAATAGATTTTGAAGCTCTGACTTATCAACTTTTCTTTTAGACTGTTCCATAAGCTGACACCTTTGATTGAAACACAAAGATTACAACTACATAACTATTTTTGACAAGTACAATCTTAGCGATTTCAAGATGCTGCATAAAAAGCCAAATATTCTCTATGGTAAAATACTTGTAATTTATTAAAGGGGCAATCTGTAACTTTTTCTGGAGGAAAACACCACCTGCAAGTCTCAATGAAGATAGCTTGACTTGAAATTTTCTAAAATTTAAAATCAATCTAAAGGCAGGTGATGTGACCAGGCCAGATTACAGGTCAGATCTGCAGAGAGGCGAACAAATCCAATCAGCGTATCATTTGTTTTTTTCAAAATAGAAAACAAAAATAAGATAACGACAAAACATTCTTCATTATTTGTCTCCAAAACCAAAATGAAAAAACAGATAATGATTTGTTTTTTTCAGTTTTCGATTTTGTGTTTAAATGAATAATGGAAAAAACAGTCGTTTCCCGTTTCAGTGACTTAAATTGCGATGCCGGACTGAACCAGGACTAAACCAGGTCCAGGACCAGACCAGAACCAGAACGTAACTGAGACCAGGACTTACACTGGGACCAGACCAAGATTGAGTTCGGGACCAGGACTGAGACTGGGACTGAGACTGGAACCACACCAGGACTGAAAATGGTTTAGTCCTGGTTTAGTCCTGGTTTAGTCCTGGTTTAGTCCTGGTTTAGTCCTGGTTCAGTCCTGGTTCAGTCCGTATGCGGCAAAAGTCCGGCATCGCAGTTTAAGTCACGGAAACGGGAAGCAGCCCTTATCTGTTTTTTTCCATTTTTCATTTAAACATAAAATCAAAAACTGAAAAAAATGATTCATTATCCATTTTTTCATTTTGGTTTTGGAGACAAATAATGAAGAAAACTGTTGTTTTTTCGTTTTCTTATTTTTGGTTTTATTTTGAAAAACTAATAAACGAATGAACGAATGATACTTGGATTAAATTCATATTGTTTCAAGGTATTTTTTTAGCAACTTTGAACATGCCAGAAAATTGGGGAACATTCCAGGCAAGATAATAACATCCATGGCGTGCAAGTGGATGACAGACCCCCCACCAACATCATAAAAATTACACCGTGGAACTTTAATCTAAGCCCGCTCTCGTCTCCATCATGACTTGGTCCCTGTGGCCTCCTCTAGTAGTAGTTGTATCATGTTCTGTCCTGACGCAGCCCTCCTAATAGTCCCATTTAGACACACAGTCATTTAATACAAGTGGGTCAATCATTACGTCCTGAAATAGTCGTGGGTCTGACGGCACTGAGGTGGGCCCTGCTCCTTCTAGGGACCAGCCTATTTGCAGAGAGCTCCATTGATCTGCAGTGTCACCCTATCCCACGCCAGGATCAATGTCTCTGCCTCACACACGAGCGCACGTACACACAGAAACACAAAACCTGAGCATTACTATTTCAACAATGTCCAACTTTTGTTCATCTGAGACCGCAGGGTTAATCAGCTTTTAAATCACACATAATTCTCAATATTAGAACGTACTGCGCTGTTTAATACTGAGCTGGAGGACAGATCAAAACTGTGTGGTCAAATTTAACTTTTAACTTTCAAAATGCAGACAAGAGCAGGGATGTCCAAAACATTTTCATGGGTCAAATATCTAAACATATTTGGAGTGGAGTGAAGACAGACTGGTGATCTGTCTTCACTGGTGGTCCTGGTCTGGTCTCGGTCTCAGTCCCACTCTACCAGACCGGGACCAAACCGGGACTGAGACCGAGACCAGGCCGGGACCAGACCAGGACCAGAGGCTCAGAGCCCACAGCAGGGCTGGAGCTCGAAGCTGAGGCTCGGACCCGGCGGAGGCTCGGAGTCAAAGCTCGGAGTCCGCTCTGGTCCTGCTCTGGTCCCGGTCTCAGTCCCGGTCTCAGTCCCGCTCTGGTCCCGGTCCTGGATCAGTCCTGGTTCAGTCCGTATGCAGTGCAAAAGTCCAACATCGCAGTCACGGAAGTCACGTAAAAGGGAAATGGCCTTTATCCGTTTTTTTCCATTCTTCATTTAAACACAAAATCGAAAACTGAAAAAATGAATCATCTGTTTTTTCATTTTGGTTTTGGAGACAAATAATGAAGAAAAAAGTTGTTTTTTTCATTTTCTTATTTTTGGTTTTATATTGAAAAACAAATGAACGAATGACACACAGATTTTGGTGCATTAAACACAGTTGAAAAAGCTGAGGCACTCAAAAAGTACAAAATATTTAAATGCCAATGGATGTGATTTTAACTTTATCTGCCATGTGGTATTAAAAGCTTTTAAATATTTTGTACTTTTTGAGTGCTCAGCTTTTTCAATTTTGTATTTGAGACTGGTCCCTACACTGAAGAGCACCAAAAGAACATTCTGCACAATCTCTGTACATCCAAGTAACACTCGTGCCTCCTAATGTTTTGCAATAAATACAGCTTTAACCAAGCCACTACAGCTTTAATAAAATGTAATTTTTTTTTATTTTTTTTATGTTTTAGGTCTGTATAATGTAATGTGATGTTATTGAGGTTATAGTGGTTACTCATATGTCATGAGAAGAACTGCCTATGATCATTTGGACTAGAGTAAGGGTCTCCTACCTGCAGCTCGGGAGCTATTGGTTGGCTCTCCACCCCCTTCCAAGTAGCTCGCGAAGGGATTTCTGAATTACACATATTGTGCTGAATAAGTAAAATTTGATTAACGTGTACCTTTTACCTAGCCTGATTCATCAGCCGGTTTCACTTTGTGGAAACTGTCTGACCTTTCAGCATTAGGATTCGTTCGCTCGATGGTTGGCGGGTGCTTTTTTATTTAACCAATCGCTGCTATTTGGTCGTCACATATGTAATGTGCCGCTAACGGGGCTAACTGGTATATTAAGCTTTTCCAAAGCCCAGTAGGAAGAAGGACAATAACGTCTTTCCCCTTGATAAAATTCACCAAACATTGTCTTTGTTCCGGCTTTAAATTGTCGATCTCGGGAATCGTTGCCAACACAGAATGTCTGGCTTCGTCAACATCCATCTCCACCGCTTTGTTTACTGTTGTGCTGTACCACAAAAAGGGACCCAGTCATGGCTTCACAGCTCTTCGCTGATTGGCTGGTGCGCCGTCTACAACTTCTGGGGTTCTTGCAAACCATCTAGTGTATTCTGATTCCTGACCTAGTCGCAGGAAAGAAATTAAATTGACCAGAGACACTAGGTGGCACCAGCCTGGCTACCATTTACCACTGTACATGTTTTGAGTCCTAACTTTGTACTCTAATAAATGGATAATGGTTTGTGTTTTATAGGCATATAACTGTAGCTCATCTAAGGCTTGCTGTAACTTATATATTCTCAGTTTCTAGTAGCTCTCTGGCATTTTCATTTTGTCTAGGTATCTCACTGGAGAAAAAAGACCCCCTGGACTAGAGGATCTCTAACAAAAACAAAAATCTTACAGCCGAAACACGTCAAGTATTTTAACATTATAACTTTTTGCACCTGTTTGTGCCGGTTTTGTCTTGTATTGCTTTTATTTGTCAGGAATGTCAGACTTAAAACTAAAGTTACCGTATTTGTAGACAATATGTAAAGTATGATTTTTCATCAATCCTTAGCAAATTTAAAAGCAGCTCGAGGCAAAATAATAACAAAGAAAGAATAAACAAAAAAAGATAAAACATGTGAAAGATTCAAAGTAGTAATTAATTCATAAACAACATTTTAAAACAATATTAAATAAAGGAAATAAATGAGATAATAAAATGTATATATACTGTATTTCTGTATTCGCTGGAAATTATGTCAACTGTCTTTGGAATCTGAATCTGGTTCAGCCCGTACAGGACACATTTTGTGGATGATATATTTAGGACCTGTTTCCTGCTCCCACGGCCCATGTGCTCGTCTGACGGAGCGCACATGTGTGAGAGGGGCCGAGTGTGTGTGGGAGGGTTTCTATTACAGTGTAGGGACTCAGATCTGTACACAGACTCACAACATGGGGACCTGCCGCCCTTATGCGGACAAAAATCAAGTCCCCATGATGTAAACACTTTATTATTACATCAACAACATGGTTTAAAACTCAAATATGGGTTAAACTAGATTAAATTTAGGGTTTAGGTTGGAGAAGTAGTGACTATGGTTAAGGATAGTGTCCCTGCAGCACATGGAAACCCAAGATTGTGTGTGGACATGTGTGAAGTGGGTGAGTGCGGACCGAGGAATGTGGAGGGGGACAGGACAGAGGAGCGTCCCAAACACACATGTCTCCTCTGGGTGTGGTAGGGACAGTTTTGGGGTGGGCAGCTGTGAGGGGTGACATAGGGCCGAAGTGGGTGGTCGATTAGTCCAGTTTGTCCCAACCAGTGCTGCTCACAATGATTTCAACTTTTTAAAAAATGTGGAATCGAATAGTCGCCTGGTCCAGCTTGGTTTTCGTCCAGGAATATTCATGACATCAGTTGCAAAGTATGACTAGAGACATGTGTGCAGTGTGAGGTGTGGAGGTTTGGGGTCCTCGGTGTGTCTGAGTGTATCCAGGAGGATGAGCTCACCTTCCCCGCTGCCATGAGGGACAGGCCGAGCTGGTGCCACAGGTGGAACTCGTTGTATGAGAACTTCATGGCTCGCTCCAGACACTGAGAAACACAGAAGGGATGTGTGTTAGAGGAGTAATATTTCTGACTAGAATTTCCGTATTTTTTCTTATTAGGTGTATTTTACGTGCATAGAGCAGGAGAACGCAAAAGGAAGCAGGTTGAAGTTAGAAACAAACGCATATAGTGCAACTTGCTGAACTATTCACAACAACTATACAACTTTTTTCAGGTTACAGGTTATTGTTGGTAAATAGTCACATTTTTATACAGTGTTTTTCCACCTTCAAGACACTCAACGAGCTTTACAACAAGGAACCACTCACCCATTTACACACACATTCACACACCAGTGTAAGCAGACAGTAGGGGCAAGGTGTGGTAAGTGTCTTGCCCAAGAACGCAACAACAGCTTTCATATGTGGAGCTGGAATCACACCTTCAGCCTGTGGGTCAGTGGGTCTGACAGCTCAACCAATGATGTTTTTATGTCAACAGCAGAATGCGAACCTCCAACCTTCAGATAAGTGGACAAACACTCTTACCAACTGTGCTACTGCCGCCCCATTTAAACCATTTATTTGACAAAAAAGTTGTATAGAGACAGATTAATGATATACCAATAATATGACAATGCACTTGTATGTTCATGAAAGAAGCATCGATGAGAAACCATTTTATTTCTCTCCAAAATGCTCTGAAGAGACAGTATATTTTAGAGTTATTAAAGTACTTGTTTAATTCTGTATTTCTGTAATTATGATATACAAATAAACATGTCTTGCCTATTTTAATTAGAATCCATAAATACTTGGTGCACTATGTAACTTGTAACTCTGTAACTAGTGAAATTTCCTCCACCTTCTTGTCTGTATGTGATGTTACGGATATATTCCACAGTATGGCATTACACTTATCTTTCTCCATGGAGCAGGTGATGCCTCCAGGTCTCATCTCAGATCAGAGGAGAGGCGACCTCGCTCACCGAGCATAATTTTGAAAGGATTTTTGACCAATAAACGCACCTGCTATTGAATATCTGCCAGATAGTTCAATTCGAATCTATACAATGGAGCATTTTGGGCAAAGCAATAACATAAAGTCAAGCACGTGTCAGACACACAGTGCATCTTTAAGACGTAGGACGAACCTCTTCAAGTTTCTGGCTATGTTACATTTAGCACTTAACAGAATACCAGTGCTATTAGGCACATTTTGGGAGGTTTAAAAGCGTTTAAATGGCTGTCAGTCTCTGCTCACCACCCACTCGCCTCATTCACCACATAAAGAGGTGATTGATGCATTTGAGGAGGAGCAGAGGAAACCACAGAGTTTTTCAATCACTGACTCAGCCACAATGAGCCAGAGCCAGAGCAGAGCAGAGCCCGAGATTTGATAATGTGCACTTAGAGAGAGGCTGCTGGACACAGACAAATATGTCCTACAGCACAGTGTATGAACAACACTCATCTGATTAACAGGAGGCTTGAATTCAAGTCTTAATGAGGAACAGAGCTCACTGGAGTAAAACTAAATAATCATGCGTTGTGTTTAAGATGGTAATGGTTAAAGAGCCCATGCTATGATATTTTCTTTTCCTTTCTTCTTTCTAACTATGTTGCAGTGTTGTTTTCTCATTAAAAACAGACCTAGAGTTATGCTTGAGTGTTTTGAGTTGGAGCAAAGTAGCTGTTAACATGAAAACTACCACTGTATGACATCACAAGATGGATCACAGCATTTTGAGCTTTAGAGATGTAGACATTTTAACAATTCAGTGTGTGGATGAAGCAAAACACAACTCCAGGCATGTAGGTACTGCATGTTTTGATGAGGCATTAGTATTATAACTAATACTTAAAACTCACAAGAGTCAATTTAGCAGAATAAAAGCCCTTTAAAGTAAGTAAGGTAAGTATGGTAAGTTACATTTTAGTATCCAGGCTGGCGCCACCTAGTGCCTCAGCTCAATTTAATTTCTCTCCAGCAACTAGATCAGGAATGCACTAGATGGACTGCAAGAACCCCGAAAGTGCGAGTCCAGGCAATCAGCGAAGAGCCATACATTCTGTGTTGGCAACGATTCTCAAAATCAAGGATTTAAAGCCAGAACAAAGAGAATGTTTGGTGAATTTTAGATGTTATTGTCCTTCTTCCTATGGGATTTGGGAAAAGCTTAATATACCAGTTAGCCCCGTTAGTGGCGCATTATGTACGTCACGACCAAATAGCAGCGATTGTTTAAATGAAAAAAGTACCCGCCTACTGTCGAGCGAACAAACCCTAATGTTGCAAGGTCTGACAGTTTCCATGAACTGAAACCGGCCGATGAAACAGGCTAATATTTTATCGACCCTGTAGACAAATTTGACCTTCAAAACCTGTGAGGGAAACTGTCAGGATCAGGAAGTGCCGCAGTGCAGTCCTGGGCAATACGGCAAGACAACTTGGCAGCTTTCAATCAATTTCATGAGCATAAACTTTATTTATACACAAAAATACTGTCATTAAAAAAGTATTTCTTCATCAAGTCTGAACTCTGCTCCAAACCAAATGCTTAAACTGAGAGAAGAATGGCTGTAGATCGTGATTAAACCCAAGCTGATCACTGACAATCTGAAACAACGGATATAAACTGAATAAACCACACCAGGAAACAATACTGCTGCACTGTTTTCATGCAAGTTGTGGTTAACGTTGGCGCTTTTTGGTGTGATGGCAAAACTCTGTTCCTCTTCACTAACTAGTTCAGCTATTCATTCATTCATTTTTAAGAAAAGTATAAATCAGATCCAGCCACTTTGACTTCAAACCAAATATATAGATCTTTGACAAGTCTCTTAAGGTACAGTATTCCCACCAGAACTGACCTAAGTGTCTTGGAGCTGTGATGGAAAGAGCTAAAAGGAGAGAGATTTGTCTTTGCCAAACTTTTTAATGAATGTCCTTATCTCTGAGACACAGGGATTAAGTGTCTTGTCTCACATCGTTCAGTCTTTTCTTATTTTTATCTTGTCCTTACACTTCCTCTCATCTTCACCTCAATGTCACACTATGTTGAGGTTTTTAACGTTAGTGATGGAGTCTGCACGGCCTCCCGGTGAAAAACACACTCAAAATCTTTTTCATATGAATTATAAATTGTCCTGTCATGAAAATTACTCTATCGACTCATCGTTCAGCTGGAACAATATATTTTGGGGCTCAATATTTATCGTGAGTACATTTTCTTGGCCATAGTAAGGAGATTTTTTGCCATTTTTATGTCATAATGTAAGATTTGAGCTTTAGAGTGTAGAATAAATAACTTCAATGGCTAATTATTGCTTCATTTATTGTTATCAGCTCAGTTTTTAATCATACTGTCTATTTAAAAATTGCTTTTCTGGCATGATCCTGCTTTGTGTCAGTGACAATATTATAATTTATCTCAATATTTCTCTTTTGAAGCGATATATTGTGCTTAAAAATGTGTTATTGTGACAGGCCTAGTTATAAGACTATTAAAATGACTTATAAATGGCAGAATCGTCAAATTTCTTTCTGATCATGGTCCTTCTGATTAGTTTAAAGTTTGCGTATCTTTCAAGTAATTTAAAGGACCCATATAATGTTATCATTTTTTTTTCTGCATCAAAAACACACCTGGAGTTGTGTTTTGATTCAGTTACACATCTAACACATAGAGCCTGCACATTTAGGTTGTATTCTCTCAGAAATCAGAGAAAAGTGGAAATACAGGAAGTGTATTTTTAAACTCCACACACCTTCACCAGAATTGTTTGGATCTTTTCAGTCCTGGTATCTGTTAACTTGAAAACTACCGCTACATGACATCGCAAGGTGGAACAGAGCATGTTGAGCTTTGGAGATGTAGTCAAAGTAATAAGTAAGTAAAGTTTATTTATATAGCGCTTTTCAGAGACGTAGGTCACAAAGTGCTTCACATAGAAAAGATAAAAACAGCAGAAGATACATTCATAATAAAATAAAATCAGTCATAGCAGCTCGAATGGGGGCGGGAACGCTTGTTCAAAGAGAAATGTTTTTAGTTGGTTTTTAAAAGCATCTACACCAGGCATGTCCAAACTATGGTCCGTGGGCCAAATGCGGCCCCCGGACACATTTTTCTTGGCCCTCTGTCTTCCAGGTGAATTGGCCCAGATTTCCTTGCATCAATTAAAAATGAAGTTTTCACTGCAAGTTTTTTGAAAATCTACCTTGATAAAGCTAAATATTAAATATTGGTGTGCAGTTTTAAGGATCTTAGCATGAATAAAGACTGATGGCTCATTCTAACGTGTTAAACATGCACATATTTCAATTATTCACTGCACTGAACACCAGTCTAAGGCCCTGCTTTGTCTGTGTTTAGATATGTGGCCCTTAATGAAAAAAATTTGACACCCCTGATCTACACTATCTAGAGAGGAGGCAATTAATTCCAGAGTTTAGGAAAGATGACTTGAAAGGATCTGTTGCTCGCATTTTAAAGCTCGTCTGTGGGACCATTAGCAGATTTTGGCCGGTAGATCTCAAGCTACGGGCAGAGGTGTACGGCTTTATCAGATCTGTGATGTAAGCAGGAGCCCAGCCATCTAGAGCTCTAAAGGTCCTAAGGGTAATAAAGGATTACTCAAACATGTGTGAATGAAACAAAACACAACAACAGGTATATTTTTGATCAGATAAAATCATTTTAACATATCTTAACGCTCACAAGAGTCAATTATGCGTAATATAGGATTTTAAAGCCCAAGAAATCAAATAATACTTAGTTTGAGTGTGGCACGCATGTAAAATTAGCCAGTGAATATCCCACATAAGCCCCTGTCCACCATATAAAATAATGACCTAATCAAATTCTAAACCGTGAACACAGACTATTTCAGTCATTGCGGCTCTGTGCCTGCTAGAAACAGGAGCAGTAGGACTTCTCCGCATGTAGACAGATGGTACAGTGGAGCTGGTGTTTTATGGTTCAGAGGCTGGGAGATTGAGTTTCCTTTACTGTTAGGTCAAGGTGGAGGTTAAAGACCAGGCTAAGGTCATGTGTCAGGCTAAAATCAGCTTAAGAATGCATTATGTCACTATCTCCACCAGTCTACAGAGACAAATGTGTACACGGGTCTGAATGGGTCAAATTAACAGCAACTTCAGTTTGATTTTGGACTGCGCCGCAAGTTCCCAGCTCTAGATAAGAGATACAGAAATAATATTTTTGTTTTGATAAATGTAATCAAGTATTTGTGCCTGGTGGTTGCTGGAAGAAAGTTACAGAAAGAAAGAAAACAGTGTGGCCACAAATACGTGATAGAAACTAAAGAACTAAAGAAATCCAAGAAATTACATCCAACAGAATTTACAGATATTATAATTCTTATTTATCATTCTACTGAAAAACACCTATTGCATGTTTAGTCTTACTTAGTCCAAGATACAGTACAAAAAAGTAGAATTGCCAGGAGACTTTGCAGAATTCTTTACCTCAGACAGCATGGAGTACTGCCCCCTCCTGGCCATGCCGATAGTGAGCAGGTCGTACACAGAGGAGGCGTCCTGCAGACTGGCCTGTCGAGCCTCATCCTGATCAGGCATTCGGCTGAGCACCGCCTCTGCCGACGTCTACGAGGCACAGGGAAATATATAAGACGAATATATACGAAACATTTCTCTTACAGTGGTGTTAAATGTTGTATCAGATGACGACTGTGTCACAACTAAAAAGGATTTAAAAGGACATTTAACAAAAAAGAAGTGAGTGTGGTGAGTAAGCTGGAGATTTGGGAGTGAATTGCGCGTTTATTTTATTTATTATTTGTTTCAAGGAAGAGCATTAGTGAAATTATATGACAATAATGACGGTTCTTACTACTATTAACACACAATTTAAATGTTCTAAACTATGTACTGTAGCTCTTCTGGTGGGGATGTTATGTTATTGCGTCGAGTATGGCATCAAACTTATTTATCTTACATAAAAGAATACATATATATAAAAGAATACATACTAGAACTAAACTGAAAACCTGTATCTTATATTTGTCCTAAAATTTGTATCAGCTGACAACTATGTTACAAATAAAAAGGATTTAAAAGGACATTTAACGTGAGTAAGCTGGAGATCTGGGAGTGAATTGCGAGTTTATTTTATTTATTATTTGTTTAAAAGAAGAGCATTAGTCAAATTATACGACAATAATGATGGTTCTTACTACTATTAACACCCCTAATGAAATGTTGCTTTGCCTGAAATGTCCCAGAGTATGGCATTAAACTTATCTATATTGCAATTATTCAATTAGATGCCTTGAAAAACATCTATTCTTACTGTGAGCAGGCTTGCCTCTCCACAGATCTGACCTCTAAATGCTGGTGACGTCATGTGTTTGTCTCCATGTAAATAAATAAGTTTATTGCCTTGCTCTGGGTCACTCCAGGTAACGCAATAACATCTCCAGGGAGACAAAAAAAGTTACATAGTGCAGCTTTAAATTGGAAAAGCATCGCCTGTAGTGTTTTTAGATTAGAAACGTATCAATATCAACATAAGTTCAGCTGAAAATGTTTAAAAAAGCAAAGTTATATCTAATTCATAAGCAGATTTTGTGACCGAGCGCGTGGGTCTCACCATTGACTCTGTGATGAGCAGCAGCAGCACGGCCTCCTCTACCACGTCTTGGGGACAGAAGCACCTGCGCACAGGAAACAGGAAGTAGATGTAAAAGAAAAAAAAAACAAAAAACAACAGGAAGTGGCTCGGATCACAGTCAGATCCAGGGTCAGATCTGAGTCTCGAGTTTCTGAAACTGAAGACTGTCTCCTGCGGTGGATCCTGTTCAGTCTCAGGTATCGCACCAAACTCTCCTCTAGGTCTCCTCTTCCTCTCGCTTTCATCTAGGCCTGTCAAGACACAAATTTAAACTTTGATATTTTGAGTCAGAGGTGATAAGGACAGAAGTTGGACGCTCTCTTGACTTTGAATGACTTACTGTGCAAATATGTTTTATCTGTAATATAATGTAACTTTCAGTCCAGATAAGAGAAGACGACCTTTATTTGACCTCCCTTTCATTTTCTGTCATTTAAAGAATATATATAGTATATGCTATATAGTAATGAATTATGACACCCATGGATCATTATGTTATAATTTTCAACAACTATAATATGGTTAAAAACTCTGAAAAGTTGATTCTGCATAATAGATCTGCTTTAAAGCTCCATCGCATAACTTAAGTCAAAAAATAGACTTAAATAAAAGAGCTTCGAGGGCTTCGACCGGCTTGTCTTCATGGAAATGTTGTTATTTTGCCTATAATGATACAAAATAAGTGCACAATATAATTATAAATCTATCTATTAAAGAGTATACAGTGATATTGTATCGTCAAAGTTCTCATAATAATATCGTGGACCATCACAATATATCGAATTACAAGTCTCTTTGTTTAAATTAAGAGTTATGGTGCAGCAGTAGTTAAAAAAAAGACAGAAAACTACATAGACCATGATCCTTTGCTCCATTTCAGTGCAGACTACAAGAAGAAATAACAGTTCTAAGCACTTCTAAGTCTTAGTTATTTGGATTAAGTCTTGTCAAGGCATTTTAAGAGGAAAAAGCATATTCAATTTTGTTAACCGCCACAAAATATCGCAAGAAATGGATATTTGTTACATTCCTAATCATGAGCCTCCCCACCATATTGTGAGCTTTCTCACGATATCGCAATAAATATCGTACCATGAAGTTCATACCTTGACAATATCGTATAGTGAGACTTGGATATTATTACACTCCTACCAGATAGTTATGAATTACTTTAAGAAAAAAAGATAAAACTAAATTAAGTCAATTATCAGAGATGTCACTAAGAAGACCATTTGACAAACAGTCGCAAAATATGGAGCACAGAAAGTCTCTAAAACCTGCTGAACCTGGACCTGAGGGAGTTTTAGCTTCTTAAAAATCACTGAGTTATAAAACAACGGGTTTTCATTTCACTTTAGACTGAGCTATTTACTCAAGGAAATCAAACCCACTGGCATGCAAGACTGATTATGGAAAAATATAAAACAAATCCTTTTTTATAATACTGCTATTGAAATTACATTTGTGATACTTTTATAAACAAGCCACAGGTCAGAGGAGATTTTTAAAATATATCCAGAAGCATTAAGAGTGGGAGATACATTTCAGCACAAGCCCGGTGAGCCAGACATTCTTTGACTGGTATGTGCCTACCCCTCTGTGTTGTAGCGCTGTGGGGGCTTGACCGTGGGGTAGATGGCGTCTTTAGAGGCTGCGGCCCCCTCTCTGTGGAGCCAGGACGCTGGAGGGGGGCCCAGAGGAGGCCAGTAGCTGTCCTCACCCACAGAGCTCAGCAAAACCTCTGCTAACTTCCTCGCTGCAGACTGAAAACACAAGAAGGAAAAGTTGTTGTGCGCTGACTAGGCAAGGCAAGTTTATTTGTATAACACAATTTGTACACAAAGTATTTCTAAGTGCTTTAACACAGTGTTTCCCCAAACTTTTTTCTGGCGAGCAATATTTTCACAAACTTTCACGACCCAATTCAATAGACATTATTCGTAAATCACGAAATAACGGTAGATTTGACCATTATTGAACATTAATGAGGATATTTTATTGCTGACTGAGTGATTGTGTCTCTCTGAACAATTAGTATTACTCAAGTTTTAAACAATGAAAAACAGTAATTGAACCAGCAATAAAAGAATCCATAAGTCGCCTATTTGGACATTAAATGTAGCCCATTTCTTTTTCTTTTCAACATTCAATTGAACCAGCAATACTGGAACAAAATAGTTAATAAAACAAAAAGATTAAAATTATACAAAACATGTCTTAACATTTCGACATTTCTAATGAGATAAGTGGGCCTGTCTGTGTTTTTGTAACATGTTCCAGTCCGGGGTGGAGGAGGAGAGCGCAGCACATGTCAGGCAACCCACAAAAAAAAATCTCTTGTGACCCACCTGAGGGTCACAACCCAGTCTTTGGGAAACAATGCTTTAACGAATAAAAAAGACATTACAAAATCATAATGCAAACAACCCAAAACATAAATAATCATAAATTAACATTAAAGGAAAAAAAAAAGCTGAATAAAATAGTTGTATGTGTAAAAAATATTAAGTTTAGATTAAGAGTTTAAGATAAGGGGAACAAAAATATTATGGATTTAATTCTTCACAGTACAATTTACGTAAACATTTTGACACACACATAATTTGACTGTTGTTCTAATAAATAAAACCAAAGAGGTCAAAACACAAACAAATTGACTACTTGTCTCTATTGGGATGTTATACTGTAGCTCTTCTTCCACAGTATGACATTAAACTTATTTCTTTTGAGTGAACGTCTACTATGAGCAGGGCATGTTTTGACACAATAAGATGAGACATGCATACACAGCGCTCCTTTAAATTAAATGAACTACATTGGTTGAAGATGTAAAAGTTCAAATGATCCTCTATCTGATAAACTGACCTTCCTGAAGCTTTGGGATCCACGGGACTCGACCACCCTCATCACCCTCCTGAGCTGATGGGCACCCTGAGCCAGATGCCTGCAACACACACAAACACTATACATGCTATATGAACTAAATACAGGCTGTGGAGGAGAGGGACGAGAGAGACACAGCTCACACAGAATAATCAGAATGTATTGGGGCAAAAAAATGTAAATTTCTAACCAAAATGACAACAAATGCAACAATATTATATAGATCAAGTCTCCAACCTTTTTCCTCCGGTGAGCTACTTTTACAAAATAAAACTGCCAGAGAGCTAATAATTTTAGGGGTCTCAAGAAATTTATATAAGAAAGAGGACAAGCCTTAGAAGGGGTACAGTTAGATGCCAGTACAAGACAAACCATTATCCTTTCATTAGTGCGCAGAATTAAGCACCAGTTGTAAAAGTCATGAAATTAATCAATTTGGAGTTGTTCAGCATAATACATATAAATTAGAAATCTCTTGGTATTTGGAAGGGGCTGGAGAGGTACTGGTAGCTCCTGAGGTACAGGTTGGAGACCCCTGATATAGATGATAAATAACAGATAGGTGCTGGTTTAAATTGAAACGCTAAAGTCCTTGGCTGACTACTTTACAGTGGACCGACACTGACACCTAGTGGTCACAAACATAATCCACCTTCGCACCATTAAAAGTTTGGTCTTCCGTAACTCCTCTTATCTCCACAGCTCCTTCAACTTCAACCACTAAAGAAGTAAATACAGCAGTCGTTCATGCAGGAGTTGAGCATGTGCTGGACTTACCCCCGGTGCAGGAGGCAGAGGTAGGCGCTCTGCAGTGCGGCCTGGAGGAAGTACCCCAGCTCCATCTCGGCTGGAGGGGGCAGAGGGCTGTGGGATTTGGGTGTTTTTACATGGGGCGTGGTGACGTTCTGCAGATAAACATGAGGTGTAAATAAAACCACAAGTAACCACACAACAACAAAACACAAAACTGGTTGGCCAAGTATAGTTCCACCGCAAAGGAAATTTTAATTAAGCGTGAACTGATCCAAGAGGCTTCTTCAGTTCAAATATGAGTCAGAGCATTTTATCTATTTGAAGAGAGGAGCTAATGACACTGAAACTAACACACCCTGGCTGTTTACAGTACGTAGTATTTGTAATAAGCCAAGATCCTGTTCTCACATGACCCATATTTTCAGTATTATCGATTTTATTGGACAGGAGCCCTTTTTGCAAGTTGAAACATACTCACTTTTATAACGGTTTATGTACTCCACAATTGAATATCTAGTTTAGTTTAGTTTGAGATGAGCATAACCTTTAACCATAGACTGTATAAATAATAAATCCAGTTTCTGCTCATACCTTCTCCAGCTCCTGCAGAAAAGACAGAGCAGCATCACAGGCTTTGAGGAAACAGGACAGACTCTCCTCTTCTCGCTCGGACAGACGGACTCGGGACACGCCGGACACTGTCTGATGTCCCAGAGACAGACCTGAAGGAAGAGAGACACTGTATGAGGAAAAAAAAATTGCCATAAAGAAGGTGAGGACTACACAGAGACTTCAAATATACTGTACTTCAGCATCCTCTCACAAAAATGCCAAAGTAAAGTTACTGTCACAACCGTAATTAACCTACTTGCGCTGTTCTATACTGTATATTTTGTATTTTATATTTTACCTTAATTTAATGCATACCCTTATTTTTTATTCATCAGTTTAAATTATAATTCTGTGTTAAATGTTGCACCAAAACACCAAAGCAAGTTCTTAATTTGTGAATTTTGTTTACACTGTCAATAGAACTTCTGATACGGATTCTTACTTCCACTCCACATTTTCAATTAGGCTTCAAGTTATAATGGTTTAATGTTAGTCTTTTATACATTTTTGAGCTCTAGGCATCTCTCATGTTTTTAATAAATATCTGTTTTTACACAGTTAACGTATACAGTTAAGTACTACATGAATAAAATCGCTTTATTTGCTATTCACTTGTAATATAGGAATTTTATTATAAGACTCATGCTGATATATTTAAATTTTAATCAAATTCTGGGCCCTAGGTACAAATCACCTTAGTAGGCACACACTACATGTTATCTAATGAAAAATGCATATTAGAAGACTTTCTGAGGGCCCCCTCCTTGCACTGGGCCCTGGGTAAACAGTGTCCTTTACCCCCCAGTCCAACAGCCCTGATTACAATATTTAAGATGGTTCTCAAACAGACCTAGAGCTAGTACTTGTAGTCAATTTCATCCAAGTTTTTTTCTATTTTCATTGGACAGGAGCCCTGAGACAGACGCCAGGCTAAATCAAATCAGCCACTTCCCGAAGACAGAACACAGTGGTACAAATATTACTTCTGATTTACACCAAAACAATAGAGATAGAGCTGATAAAAAACAAGGCTCGTGGATTCATTGATGGAAAGCACTGTCACTTTCAAGATAATGAGATGAAAATATTGTAGTAAAATAATTGTGGTTTTGTGGAGGCTGTGGCTGAGCTCATGTCCGACCGTCAGGAAACAGAGGAGTGTAATGACTTGATAATGAAGAGTTTAATCAGATTATGTAATGTCCTGAATACTATTACCAATCTAATGCTCTGGAGCTGCCACCCATGATGTCATCCCAGAGTTACAAAGAAAAGCTAATTTACTATAACAATTAACATCAGTAACTTGTTTATGTTTTATTACGGTTATGGTTAAAGGTGCACTATGTACCTTTCCTTTTGGAGGGGCTGTTACCTTGAGATTTCATTGCCTTGTATGGAATGTTCCACAGCATGGCATTAAACGTCTATCTCAATCAACATAAAGACAACCAAGTTACAGGTCATCTTTCTGGAGAGACAACCCACATTCATAAGTAAATAAATATATGTTAGCTCAGTTTAATTAGCCTGACTCATCAGTTGGTTTCACTTTGTGGAAAACTGTCTGACCTCTCAGCATAGAGATTTGTTCACTCGACTGTAGGCGGGGCTTTTTTTATTTAACCAATAGCTGCTATTCGGTCGTAACGCATGTAATGCGCCAAATCCCGTAGGAAGAAGGGCAATAATGTCTTTCCCCTTGATAAAATTCACCAAACATTTTCTTTGTTCCATCTTTAAATCTGCGATCTCGGGAATCGTTGCCAACACAGAATGTATGTCTCTTCGCTGATTGGCTGATGCCCGAACTCACACTTCCGGGGTTCTTGCAAACCGTCTAGTGTATTCCGATTCCTGACCTAGTCGCTGGAGAGAAATGAAACTGAGCGGAGGCACTAGGTGGCGTCAGCCTGGCTAGGCATTAAACCTCTATCTCAATCAACATAAAGACAACCAGGTTACAGGTCATATCTGTGGAAAGGCAACCCACACTCATACAATAAATACATAAATACCTGTTAGCTCAGTTTGATACCACTGTGAAACAATAGGCAACACCATAACATCTGCATCTTACATAGTTTGAAAATGTGTGGTTGCATCAGAGAATTTGGTGCATCATTCATTCAAATATTATTCCTGCTCTGGTACTAAGATCCTTCTCTAGCCACAGCTGCCCTGGGACAGACTCAAAGAAGCATGACAGCCAAACTCCAGTCCCTGCAAACACCACAACTAATCTCAGGCAAGGAAGTGTCTTGCCCAATGTAGGTAGTGTTCAGATTAGTATTGCATTAATTGTGAAATAAATTGTGCAAAGTAATTACTGAATGAATCAACAAATAACTGCACTCTGAGGTGTGATGCTAACTGTAGGCTCTGCTCTCTCTGAGGCTTTATAAGACTTCAAATTTGAGCTTTATTTTAACACGATCTGATCATAAAAAATTTTGCTGAAAACCAAACACCTAAACCGGACCACGAAGGCTCGTATTGATCACAGGCTCCTGAAAATGTGTTTTTTAAAAATCCATAATGTGTTTTTTTTCTTGAGTTTTTAGACAATCTGTTACAGTTTTTAATAATTGTGTCTCCAACTCCTACACGCATGATAAAAGCTTGTCTAGTGGTCAACCAGCATAAAGTAGTACAGTATATTTTATTAGTCTATCTAGATGAGTTATGGACAAAATAAATCCCAGCTTCTCATTGACCAAAATTGCCAATATAATAATAAGTGTCCAGATATTTGGATGATGCTTCAATTCATGAGTGTCTTAAGTTTAGTAAAAGACCTCAAAAGTAAGGTTAAACATGCAATCAAGAAGAGAAAGTATTAACTAAGAGGAAAAGGCCATTTACTTCTATCCAAAATTACAGTATCTCATTACACCTAGTCCTTCAAAATGGCATCCAGACTCATTCCTTTTGGTCTGGGCTCTCCCTTGTACTGAGGCTACTGTCCACTCAGCCTGATCCTCCCCAGCTGCAGTGTGTTCACTTGGATGGCTCTATTTCACCCTCTGTGGCCAGTCGCAACGCCTTACAAGGTCAGCGAGAACACAGGTCTGTAATAACTCCAACTAGACGCAAGGAAACCGATCATTTGGAAAGTAAAAGCTTGGGTCAGTTTGATGAAGTCAGCACTGATTCAGCTGTAATCTTAGAGGACGGGAGTGGAAATACTAATCTATAGCTGTTCATTAGACATACTTTTATTAACTGAAAGTTTTAGATTTGATTAGATTCACAAATGCAATGTAAGTTAAAGCTACTGATCTGTAATTGGGTCATCTAAAGGTCCTATAGTGATTGATCGTATTAACATTATAAGGTGGAGTGTTTTCTGTTTGTGAGGAGAACTTGTATGTACTGCATATCTTTTCTAGACTACAAGCATGTCTCCATAGAGATTACTGCTTTACCTGAAATTTTCCACAGTGCTAGCCTGATTCATCAGTTGGTTTCACTTCGACCAGAAACCATCATAAGGATTCGTTTGGTCAACGGAAGGCAGGTTGTTTTTTTATTTAACCAATCGCTTCTATTTGGTCGTGACGTTTGTAATGCACCAAATCCTAGAGGAAGAAGGGCAATAATGCCTTTGCCCTTGATGAAATTCACCAAACATTCTCTTTGTTCCGGCTTTAAATCCTTGATTTCGGGAATCGTTGCCAACACAGAATGTCTGTCTTCGTCTACATCCATCTCGACCTCTTTGTTTACTGTTGTGCTGTACCACAAAAGGGACCCAGACAGGCGCTTGAGTTTGACGTCATGGCTTCACAGCTCTTCTCTGATTGGCTGGAGCACGGTCTACAACTTCCATGGTTCTTGCAAACTGTCTAGTGTATTCCGATTCCTGACCTAGTCACTGGAGAGAAATGAAATTGAGTAGAGCACTAGGTGGTACCAGCCTGGCTACCACAGTATCACATTAAACTTACATTCTTACTGTTAGCGGGGTCACATTTCCACAAATCTGGCTTGTAACTAGGGCTTGGGAGAGTCTCTGGCTTATCTCCATAGATATAAATATGTTTAATATAAACAATGAAACATCCTATTCACGCCCCCTTCATGGTTTACGTTGAATGTTTTTTACTTTGTTTACTAAAGAGTCTGGCATCCTGTAATCCTGGCTGAATATTTATTACTTTCCTCAAACTGAAGTCAGTTTCTAAATAAGTAATTGTACTTAATTATCTAGCCTGTCCCACTGGCAGGACTGATGCTGACTAACAGTTTCTTGGAGCATGTTAATGTGAATCAGTGTGAGAAACATATATATGTAAATTAAAAATGTATACACAAATGTGTGACAGTCGCTGGTGCATTTGACAGTGTATAATAATGTATTTGCAAAGATTTAGATTCAAACTGACAACAGAAAATATATCGAGAAGCTAAAGAGAGAACTACTACTAAGTATTAGAATGATGTTTCAGTATTCTAGCATACAGATGTTTGAAAATAAGGAGAAACACTGACATTTTAATAAGGAATGTACAATAAATTGAAATACTGATAATATCGTGAATGTTTGTTTTGAAAACAAGTTTGAATTTGGCAAAAAGAGAAAAAGATAAAATATAAAAAATGAACAAACTCATACTGTAATTTTTCATATGAGAGGATATTTCTGCTTTTCTTCTATTTCTGTGTGGGAAATTGTACATTATTTTTGTATTAGTTGATATTTAAGTATAAGACCATTTAAAGACAGTTTAGCAAGTATCTTTTATCTTATTTTGTGTTTTTATGATACTTTCATTTAGAGCTGGACATCATTCAGAATTTGCCGATACGATACATACCTCGATACAAAGGCCACGATACGATACAGATCTCGATACAGTGATCTTATGATTTGATACGATTCAGTACGATACATTTCAAATCGATTCGATATGGTTCAATAAAAATAAAGGCTAGATCAAGGCTGTGACACTAAAAGTCTTTGTTAAACCACTTCTTGCGCAAAGTGAAAATGAAACGCACCCATTTTAATAATCAAAACAGTGAAAATGTCAAATGTGTTGCATAAACGAGTTTCCCAGCAACAAAACTGTAGCACTGTGACAAAATAAGTTAGTCAAACATGCTAAATAATACTCTTTGCAGTATATCGATACCACAGCCTACAATATCGATACTGCATCATCACATTAAACAATACAATATTTCAATATGTTTGCAAACCCCTACTTTTATTATACTCTTTGAAGATACTGCAATAGTAAGGTTTGGCCAAGTTCAATAAATTATTATACCAAAGCAAATGTAAAAGAAGAAAAGACCACAAAAATCTCCACTAAGCAAAGGTTTTCTATTGATCCCTACGGAGAAGTGTGTCATGTTTGTACCTTTAATAACAAAAGCCTCGGCGAGCAGTCTGAGGTGGTACACAGGCTGGTCGTCCTGGGTGAGCTCCTCCAGTCCAACCCGCGCACACATGCCCTGAGCGTCTCTGTACCTGCCCTGGACATAATGCACCTTCGCCATCAGCAGCAGAGCCTCGTTCAGGTATCTGGGCTGAGAACACAAGAGGGTCAGAGAAGATTTTGAATTAAAGGGCTCACATTATGCTATTTTCTGAAGTTTTCTTATCATAAACAGACCTGGAGTTGTGTTTTGTTTCATTCACACATGTTTAACACACTATCCCTGCATATTTAGACTGAGTTCTTCTCTAAGACAAAAAACATTAATTCCATGTGGTAATACCGGAAGTGGCCCACTGTATTTTTAAACTTGATAAACCTTCACTATAATCATTTGGATAATTTCAGCCCTGAAATTGGCCATTTCGATTAAAGTAAAGGTAAAAGGTAGCTGGTCACTTAAAAATGAACGTATTTTGAGGTTTTCAATAATATGCATGCTACTCTAACGTGTAAATGAAACAAAACAACTCGAAGTTCCTTCATGGAATAAAGGACTTTTAATATATTCGGTCGGAGTGCCTCAGGTTTGTACTTTGCCCACTTTCACATTTTCTAGTAAGGGTAACTTTCTGTTTAAAGACTACTGTTTTAACCCTCGTAGAACACCTGTACTGCTGTTTTTTTACCCTTTTATGACCCAGTGAAGTGCTCTACCTCTTTTTCTTCATCTGACAACTCTAAGTGTTTCTGAGGAGGTAACAATTAGTGTCGTAGTACTTGAGATTGGTCTTTGTCTGGTCTCGAGACCGGCCTTGAGACCATTTTTTTCACGGTCTTGGTCTTGTCTTGGACTCGACTTGGTCTTGTCTCGTGTTAAAGGCGCTTGGACTTCAGCTAAAACCTGGAACAGTCTTCCTGAACATGTGAGACAGGCCTCTAATTTGTTTAAATCCAGGCTCAAAATGGTTCTGTTTAGCTGTGCATACGACTCTTCTCTCTAATTTAATGTCTCTCTCTCTCTCTCTCTCTCATTAATTCTATTATTATTTACATTTTGATTTGTTTTTATTGTGATTTTAATGCATTTCTTATTCTGTAAAGCAGTTTGAATTACGCTATGTAAAAATTGTGCTATACAAATAAACTTGCCTTGGACTCGGTCTTGTCTTGGTCTCGAGGTCTGACACTCGACCAGTGATTAAATGGAGATATATTTATAAAAACACAGATATAAATGTGCCAAAATAACTGTAAAATACAAATAAATGTCAAAAATTACAAAGAAGGTCTCGATTTGGTCTCCATGGGCCGTGGTCTCGGTCTTGTCTCGACCTTTAAAAGTCTCGGTCTTGTCTTGATCTCAACTCTCAGAGGTCTTGGCCCTGTCCTGGTCTCGGGACACTGTGGTCTTGGTCTCGATTAGTGCGGTCTTGACTACAACACTAGTAGCAACATAATAACATGACTTAAAGCTCTCAAGTGTCAGTTTTGCGAAGTATTGGACCTTTAACTTGTAAAATCCGTCCTCTGCATTAAACTCATGATGCTGTGTGTGTACGCACCGTGAGACGTCCTCTGCTCAGGATTGTGTTGAGTAGAGCTTTGGCACGGCTCAGTTTGGGCAGAGTCTTGTCTTCCAGAGGTTTACACCGTCTGAGCATCTCCATGTTGTCCTGAAGACACTCCTCCAGCAGAGACTCAGCCAACAGCAGAGTGCCATAGTCATCTGAAACACAGGGGAACAGTCTCATCAACCCAGGGGAGAACTACATTTTTTACTCAGCGGACTGCAATAAATAGAATGAGGGTCAGACCTATTTATGTTTATTCTTTCAGTAAAATGTTTGTCTGCAAAGATATTCATGTTAAAAGCATAACATTTTATTAAAAGGTTTAGAGATTTCAACACCCTCGAGGCCTGACACAATAATTACTTGACATATTTTTCAAAATATGATAGATTAAACAATATATTTTGGGGCTCAATATTTATAGTTTATACATTTTCTTTGCAATTGTGGTGAGATTTTGCTATTTTTATGTAATACAAAAAGATTTGAGCAGTAGAGGGTTAAATAAGTAACTCGCTGACTGATTATTGGTTCATTCTGCCAAAGGTGGGACGAAGTTTTTATGTTGCAGGCCTCAAGTAAGTCCCAAATCTTTTACCTCAAGTCCGAGAAAAGTTCCAAGTCAGTGGCCCACAAGTTAAAGTTGAATCCAAGTCCTCTGCTTTGAGTATTTGAGGCTGCATCGAGGTCTATGCATCGCAAAGTAATTCACCACCACAACACTAGGAGGCTAGGATTGCGTTCGTGTTTACAAAATGAAGCGGGAAAGCGGAGTACCGGAAATGTAAGTAGAGTAGATGTAAAGAGGACCAATCACAGCCGTTATTGTCTGCGTCGCTTTCCCCTGCTGTCTGTGTCGGTTCGGCGCGTAGTTACAAAATTTCAAAGTTTCAGTCGCAGATTCTCTGGGTCGCAACACAGATGATTTGACGCACGATCGTAAATTGGGCTTAAGTCATTTAAAATATTTAAACCTAAGTACCAAATACAGCTTGTATTTTTGCAATTTATATGATTTTTGAAATAAATTGTACTTAAAAAGCCATGGTATGTTACGTTATGCTAGTATGTGCAATATTTTGGAGAGGCTTAAAGAATTAGAACCACAGTAACAAACAGAATAGTGGGAGGGACATGTGCCAGTTTGTTCCTGTAAAATTAATTCCTTAACGCCGGCTTTCACAAATATGCAACAATGCCCGTTAGTGCACATGCAGGACCTTCCTAGGAACCTTTGGCAAGCACTTGTTTCTAGTTGTCACAAATGTGCAACATACCCAGATTTCTATTTATTTATTTTTTTGCTATAGTCAAATTAATAATCTCAACTTAATTTACCATCTACTTAAAGGTAAAAACACACACAAAACATATTTCTTTTTTATACATCTATATAAATTCAAGCATTAAGGGGTTAAGAACCTTATGTATGAAGTGTAAAAAGAAAAGTATTTCCTAAAAATACACACATTTTCAGGAAGTCTTTGTGGAAGTCTTCGTATATACTTTTTAAGGAAGTCTTCTCAAGTCACAGGGCTCAAGTCCAAGTCGATTTCCAAGTCTTAGTCCATTTTATCAAGTCAAGACTCAAGTCCTGAATATAATCACTCAAGTCTGACTCAAACCCAAGCCCCAACATCTGCAATCTGCTATTTATTTGTTGCAGTTCAAACGTTTTAATGATAAAATGTCCTGTGATAATCGTGTTTAATCGTTATCGTCTCAGTGGCATTAAACATTTTCAAATATTATCATGACGTTTACCTTTATTTCTCTAGTATTATGCTTCAAAATGTGTTATCGTGACACGCACCCTCCCGAAGACCAAACAAGATCCCCTACGGAGGTCCAAGTTTGTGAAAGTCCAACGTGTGTGTCTGTCTACTGCTGCACAAACATCTGCAAGACATACAAGCGTGTGTCCAATATACACACATTACCACTGCTATTGTAATCACTATCAAGACCTTTTCAGAGCATCTAATCGACCAAGCATTTCATATTATCTGCCAATATTATTTTTGCTCTCAACTTTATATTTGTAAATCTTAAAGCATGTTTTCCCTGCTGTATGCCAAAAGGAGAGAGTCTATGTTAGGGGTGAGGGGGTCACGGGGGTCACAGGGGTCATTTGTGTTTGTGGCCAACACAAACTCATCACAACATTTCCCAGCACTGTGAGTGGTTCAGATCTAGAGAGCTGAGGTCTGAAGAAGCAGTGGTTTCCTTAAATAGCCCTGACTGGCCCTCCTCACACACACCTACGGAGAATCAGGGAGACTGAAGAGAAAACCAAGCGAAACTACAAATAAGGGCAGTAAGTAGAAGTGGGCGATATTGACAAACTGAATACTTTAATTGGAAGCATACACTAAGCAGTCTTTTTGTAGTAATAGTTTTAATTATAGATTTTCTTTTGAGCTGTTAAAGACCTCAAAATGTTGAATGGAACATAAACTGAAATACAAAAAGATAAAGCAGAACAGGAAAACCTAAAACTGCCATATCAGACCACTGTAAAAGAATAAACACATTATGGTTTGGGACGGGGCTCGGGTCACTGGATCAGAAAACAACAAGTTCAAACGATGGATCAGGGAGGCCATTGAAATCAGGAAACGAGGCACGGACAGCATTAACCGTGATGATGGAGCGTTCCTCCTTTCACACGCCTGGGACGCCCTCCTCCAGAGACACCGGGCGACGGGAGGAGTGGTCAGTCTGAGCGACCTGCCAGGTCCATCAGGCTGACCACGCCTACAGGATATACGACACGTCACCACCAACACCGGTGACAGTTCTGAAGATGGCTTGCAGCTAGCAGCCGAAACATGTCAACAAGGTAAACACACTTTACTGTATTGTCTTTAAAAAGAACCCAAGAAGTTGAAGTATATAAGAAGACAAAATTAAGATCTTTGGCTGAAATACAAGTGGTTAAGGGTGGCATCAAGTTCAATAAATTGGGTGACAGTAGATCAGTTGGTAGAGCGTTTGTCCACTGATCTGAAGGTTGACGGTTTGAATCCTGCTCTCGACATAAAACATCATTGGTTGAGAGTAAGATTGCTCGATTATAGAAAAAAAATAATTATCACGATTATTTTAGTAAATATTGAAATCACGATTATATTTTAGTAACGCAATGCATTTATTCTAGCCAGGCTCGTGCCACCTAGTGTCTCCGGTCAATTTCATTTCCCTCCAGTGACTAGGTTAGAAATTGGAATACACTACACGGTGTGCGAGGTCCGTGGAAGTTGTAGACCGCACACCAGCCAATCAGCGAAAAGCCGTGAAGCCATGACTGGGTCCCTTTTGTGGTACAGCACAACAGTAAACAAAACGGTTGAGATGGATGTAGACGAAGCCATACATCCTGTGTTGGCAACAATTCCCGAGATTGAGGATTTAAAGCTGGAACAAAGAGAATGTTTGTTGAATTTTATCAAGGGGAAAGACATTATTGCCCTTCTTGCTACGGGATTTGAGGAAAGCTTAATATACCAGTTAGCCCCGATAGTGGCGCATTACATATGTCACGACCAAATAGCAGCGATTAGTTAAATAAAAAAAGCACCCACCTACCGTCTAGCGATTCTAATGCTGTGAGGTCAGACGGTTTCCACAAAGTGAAATCTTTATTCAGCATTTCTCTCTCTCAAAAAAAACCAAAACACTTTGTTATTGATACTTTACGCAAAACTTTCAAACTGAAAATACATATAGGCTACAAATATGTACCTTGGAGCAGTTTTGCGATGTATAAAACATAAAATGAATAAAATACTTTAAAAATACTTTAACTTTGAACATGAAATAAGGCATAGAAATACATAAATGTATCCAAAATAAACTATATATCCAGCTCTTCTACAATCTCTATATTTAAAAACTAAAATAAATATACTTAAGCTTTATCATTTCAACTCGATTATATGAGTTTGGAGATCGTTTGACACACAAATCAAAATCGTAATCAAAATTCAATTAATTGTACAGCCTAAGTTGAGAGGTCCCACAGATGAATGCTGTTCTTGGGAAAGACACTTAACCCACCTCGCTCCTAGTGTCTGCGTACACTGGTGTATGAGTCTGTGCGAATTGGACAATGGTTCCTTGAGGTAAAGCGCTTCGAGTGCATGACTCCTGAATTAGAAAAGATTTCCCAAGGTGGTCATCTGACTACTTTCAATATTTTGAAATCGAGACCTTTCAGCTGCCATCCAGAAGTCATTTTCAGTCTGTCTGTAAATACATTCCATAAGGATGTCCTCAAGTGGCTTTACTTCAGCTTCATCTGACCAAAGTTTCATAAAGATTGCACATTCAGAGGCTTTTTGCAATCTAAATAACAATTCTAAATAATGATTATAAATGTTAGTGACGGTCAGCCCTAAACTAGTTAAATTTTTGATAATTTGCCAATGCTGCTGGGAAGAAAATCCATTTAAAATCTCCTTTCTCATTTGTCTGAATATTCCTGTGTATTTATTTTAACTTGACATAACTTTAGAAATTGAGTATTCCTTGGTCATAACAGTCCCTGTACCTCTGTCCATCTGCACTCCTCTCCTCTGTGTGCACGCCCTGTAGATTTAAGACTTCCTGTTTAGATTAAGATTTGGTTTGTTTCTGTTCTTCGGCCAAGACTGAAGCTCGTGTTTATATGAAGAATCAATTCACATTTTTCACTTCACTTTCATCACAAGAGGCCATGAGCACAGCAGCGACACACTAATAATTCATGTATCTCCATTTTCATGTCTCGCAGAAATGTGCTTGGCTTATTGTCTTACCGATGTTCAGTTCAACTATCATGCAAATGTGAAAGTACTGTATTAAACTAAATAAGCACGCCATGTCACAGGGCCAACTTACAGGTCAGTTCAGTGGAGAGGAAACCCTGTTCACTTTAAGAATGCATTTTTGTACTAAAAACTTTTCATCCATTTGTCTGGCAGCTTTTAGAAATATATTTTTATAACTTTGCATATTATTTTTTACAACATTTACAATATCACCGATTTCAATAAACTGTCCATAAGCATAGTTATATTTGGAACATATATGGCAAAGAACAATAATTCTTTGTAACCAAACTAGTGACTTTGTGCACATTCACCCTTGCACATACACCACATCAAAACTGGGA